TAATAACTTAACAAATAAAATTACGTTATTCTATGTTTTATAACGTTTAAATAGTCTTAAAATAGCATCAGATCAGAACTTTGTCCATCGTGGCCGTATAGACCTCTTTTTATAACTCATGGAGGCACTAAGAGGGACGAATGGTGAAGGATGGGGCCCGACGTATTTGGACGGGCCACTCCCGAAAAATTCCTAGGATTTTCGATCAATCGACACTTAAATAGGGAGGCCTTCTTTAGCTCTCCGCTCTATGGGTGGCCACGGAGAGGAGAGTTAAAGGACTAACAGGGCTATAAATAACAGATTAGCTTCCCGTAGAAAGTACTCCCTACAGTCAAGCCTTGGCAGATTGTTCTCATTCAGTGTTGCTTTTCCTTATACCATAATGCCCAAACTTTTCCATTAGTGGGCCTAATTGCGCGAAAGTTGTAGGTAGACAGCCCACAAAAATTTTGTACATTTGCGGCTGACAATAATCATGTTCGTGGGTCGTGTTGACGCGTGCCTAAGGGCCGCAGTTTGGATACCATCAATTCAAAACTTCAATTCAATGTAACTTTTATTCGGTTATCATCAGTAGAAATTATTCTATATTACGTTTATAAACAATTAAGTATAATTGTGATTAATTAAAAACATATTTATTTCAAATATTTTTGTGTAAGCGATAGAAAATTTAATATCATTTCAATTTATTTATAGCATCAATATTTTTTATATTCTGATATTCTGTCAAATATGCTGAAGTGTAATGTAAATATACGTAGAATTTACATGCCATAAAATATCAAAATCGACCAAATATCTTATACAGAATTCTGATTTCCCAATCTGTCGATTTTTAATAAGTTGTTGAAAATGGAATGAAGAAAAAAATTGAAAAACGTTTATTTTAATTTGGCCAAATTATTTTACCTCTTAAATTTAAAATTAAATAATTAAGAAAACAAATTATTTTTTGCTTAAATTTATCTTTTATATTTGCTCGTATTAACTAGTGCCAAATTATTATAGAATATTCAACATTATGTAACTGTAGTAAAAAGTTTAATATTAATAATTCCTCTTAAATTATCAAGTATAAATTAAGAATTTTTTAATTTAACGCAATTACGAATGAATATGTGTAAAATAATCAAAAAATTGTCTTACTTAAACAGTGATTTGACTCATCCTTCCCCTTGCGAAAGCACTCTTAAGAATTCTTTTAACATAATATTTGAATTATGTAAACAATATTTATTTGGTCCTATTTGTTAACACGAGATGGCCACACTTTCTAACACCGGATGCCACACCTCGAATCGATGATGTGACGAAAATTAAATGAAATATTAAACAAAACTAATGCATGGTATATATTGGAAGATTATTTAGACGATCGCAAATATAAACAACAATTATACCAATAAAAAAACAGTGTATAGACAGAATCAAGGAGAGAATTGGATTGATCATGATCAATTTACTTCTACGACAACCTGGAGACCTATGTAAGCGTTAGACACCTGAAGAACACCCAGCAAACTTCAACGTGGCCAACCAATTTGATCGAATTCGAACCCGCGACCAACCACTACTGTTCAGTAGTTTTATCCACTCGACTATTCAGCTGAGAGGGAGAGAAATCCGGAGCTGAAATCCTTAATGCTCGGGTTTTTAGAAGACCGAAACAAAATTTTAACTATAAAATCTAGAAAATTAATGTAATTTCAATTGTAAAAAATGAAAAAAAGAAGCGTGACAAATCTAGAGTTAATTAATTAACGTCAAAAAAAATGCGTAAAGGAGTCCGGGAGTCCAAAGGCGCGTTGTAGCTTTATCGAGCCCAGGCAAATTTGAATTAGGGGCCCCTGTACAATGTTGACTTCAGAAGTTTTTTATCGAGGGAATTTTTTGGGGAAAATATTTTCTTATAATAGATTGGTTTGGAGCCTCTTGCTGGTGAGCCGTTTTTGCCCATAGGATAACGCGTCATTGTCCTAGGCTTGCAATCACTTCTTTCATTACGAGAATAACTAAATAAAATAACAAAAGAACAAGTACATGAAAAGGAATGCAACTTTAAATCGAAATAACCTTATGTACGAACATGTTTACTTGACATTTTCAAATATTTTGACAGAAATCTCGATTTTTAATAACATAAACATTGATATTAAAGTCAAATAACGTACTTAAATGGTTGATTGCAAACAGAATTCTATTATTCTCAATCCGGATAATGGTATTCCATTAAATATATCAAAACGGTATTTGTTTGTTGATTTAACAGGAATAGAAAACCTCTAGAGATGCTTCAAATAAATTTATTTTTCATGATCAAATAATTGTAATAAAGATAAATATTTTGTATGTACATAAAGTGCTTTAATATCTTGTTCTTAATTGTTTCGTGACTTGATTAAAATCGCATTAAATTCAATTTTCCAACTTCAAAGGCGGTTATTATTCATTTTATTTACCAAATAAATATTAATACCGCTAACAGATTATATTTACTAATTGTTTTTTATGTGGGATCTATATAGAAATTTTTAAACTCTTTCCGAAAAATGTCCGAAATCAACATTGTACGTGGGGCCTTTTAATTCAAATCTGCCTGGGACTCCTGAAGCTATAACACGCCACTGTGTAATTTTATCGTCACCAGAGGAATTTAGCGCCATATTTTTCGTATTGAGGCCCAAGAGGGCTTCAAAAGAAAGAGGCCCTTCTTCGCTATTTTATCTAATATCGAGGTTTGAAAGAGGACGACTTGTAAAGAGACTTTTAAAGTTTTCTAATGTTTATTGTGAAATTTTTAACACGTTTTAAATTAGCAATTGTTAAGTGTGTACAGTACAAGTATTCTTAATCATACAACAAAATATACAGTACAAGTATTCTTAATCATACAACAAAATATTATCTTTCCTCGGTATCATTCTGTATTAATTAATAAATTCAATTTTAGAAAATGTATTTATTTGTATTTTTTATTAACTGTTTGTTATTTATGCATTATACAAATAAATTAATAATTAATCTTACTCTTTAAATTGTTGCATTAAAATATTGAATATTTTATTCAAATAATTATATATTTATAAATTAAAACAATATAAATTTAATAGAAATATATATATATATA